TATGTGGTGTGAGGTACAGATCCTGTTTGTTTTATAAGAGGTGTGAGGTACAGATCCTGTTTGTTTTATATGTGGTGTGACGTACAGGTCCTGTTTGCTTTATATGTGGTGTGAGGTATGGACCCTGCTTTGTGTATGGTGTGAGGTACAGATTCTGTTTTGTATATGATCACTATACATATATGACATTGTTGTTGTTGTTAAGTGATACTGAGTTAGTTCTTGCCCATAGCGATCCTGTATAGGCTTTCCAAGGATCAGCTGGTGGGTTTGAACCACTGACACTGCAGTTCTAACTGACTCTGTGGCCCAGTGCTCGTCTTACAGCGCCAGACCAGGACTCATTTATGTGAATATATATATAATCAAACAAAAGAAAACACCCTCAATGCCAAGAAGTTGATTCTAACTCTCAGTAACTCTGCATAGGGTTTCCAAAGCTGTCAAACTTTATGGGAGCAGAATGCTTCATCATTCTCCAGTGGAGCGGCTGGTGGATTAGAACTGCTGATCTTGTCATTACAAACATATATATGGAGTCCTAGTGTGGCACTGTAGGATCAGCACTGGACTGAGACCCACAAGATTGATAGTTCAAACTCACCACCTACTACTCCTCAGAAAGCCTTACAAGGTTACTATGAGTTGGAACCGACCCAATGGCACATAACAACAACAACACATGTAAGTATATATGTTTATATTTGGAGTCTTGGTATGGTTCTGTAAGATAAGCACTGGGCTTCTAACCTCAAGGTTGGTGGTTCAAAACCCCAAACCACTCCTTACAAACCCTAATAAGGGTCACTATGAGTTGGAACCAACTTGATGGCATTTAATAATAACATATATTTTCACCATACAAGTTTAGTATGCAACGTTATGTCTTGGTGTGGCTCTGTAGGGTAAGCACTGGACCACAAGGTTGATTTGAACTGTAAGGTCCATGGTTCAAACCCACCAGCTGCTCCTCAGAAACCCTATCGCAGGGTCACTATGAGATGGAGCCTGACTCAATGGTACTTAAACAACAACAGATACATGTGAAAGTTGGGCAATGAGTAAGGAAGACTTTAGACAAATCAATGCAAGTGATTTATGGTGAGATGGGTGAAAAATATTGAAAGTTCCATGGACTGCCAATCTGTGTTAGAAGAAGTGCAGCCAGAGTGCTCCTTAGAAGCCAAGATGGTCAGATTTCATCTCTCATACTTTGGACGTATTATCAGGAGGGACCAGTCCCTGGAGAAGAACATCATGCTTGGTAAAGTGGAGGGTCAGAGAAAAAGAGGAAGACCCCGAAAGAGAGGGATTGGCACATTGGCAGCAGGATTGGGCTCAGTCATAGTGATGGTTGTCAGGTTGGTGCAGGACCCTGAGGTGGTCATCTGTTATCCATAGAGTCCCTACGAATTGGAAATGACTTGATGGCACCTAACAATAACACAATGGAGTCCTAGTGTGGCACTGAGGTATAAAGCACTGGACGGCAAAGTTGGTGGTTCAAATTCACCAGCTGCTTTTGTAAACCGTATACAAGGTTGTTAAGAGTCAGAACTGACTCGATGGCACTTAACAACATATGTGTATAAAAGATATGCACCACTTCTAACACACAAACACCTCACGTATATGCGTTTGATACACAAACCTTCTCCTTTTTGTTCACACACTTGTTCTCTGTGCCCGGTACAAAACAGCTTCCTCCACCAACCCGTCCACGTCTCCTGCTGTCTATGGGAGGACAAAGGGGCCCATTGGAGAGACCAAACCTGGCAGTCTGGTTTCCAACTGGACGACCAAAGCCTGCGTTTGTGGGCAATCTCCTTGGGTCCTCCGAAGTGGCCCCTCCTCCATCCCGCCCGCTATTCCCTCTCCACCCCAGCGCCTTTCTCTTTGGCCTTGGCCTGCGCTCTGCCCAAACGCCTCCCAGGAAGAGGGTGCCACAGTTTCACTAATGAGTACGCTTCAGCCTGGTCTCTCCAGCGTCTCCAAACACAGCACAATGTCTGCGCCTGGCCGGTCACCCCGCCAGGGAGGCAATTACAATCTCCATGCTCCTGACAGGCTCCAGGTGGCTGGGCTCCTTCTTGGAGCGCTCTCTAGGCAAAGTGCTCCTTGGCCCCGCCGGCCTCGCGGGTGCGGGCTCCAACGGTGACGACCGGCCGACCCCTGGTCAGACTCCGTGGCAGGTGATGGATAAGAGCCGACACTCAGCCTTCCAGAGATCTAGTTCCACGTCTCCAACGCGCACGCGCGGCTGCGAGCTCACTAAGGGCAACGAGGAAGGGCGCAGCAGCCGCCGGGGCAAGGGCGTGGCGGGCGTCGGGCTTCACTTAAGCAAAGAGGTGCGAGGGGCCTCGGGGTAGTGACTGCGTGGATGCAGGGGCTCAGGGAGGCACAGGAGATGGAGAAGAGGGGCGCAGGAGGATGCAGGGCGCAGGGGCGAACTAAGGGAACGCGGAAGCTGGGTAACTCAGGATAGGAGCTGCGTGAGGAAGGGGTCTCAGGGCGAGGAACAGGGACTCCCCACAAATCCCCAGCGTCTACAGAACATGGCCCGCCCCGACTCCGCAAAGGGTCCCCAAAGCCTGGAGGTCAAAGGTCTCCGTGGTTTTGGCGCTCCCAGCTTCTAGTCGCTGCTTACACTTCACGCCAGTATGTACATAATCCTTTTTTTTTTTTTTTTTTTAAGTTTTTATTGTGGATTGAGTGAAAATTTACAGAGCAGATCATCAATTTTACATTGAACAAATCGTACACCATTTTACATTCAACAAATCGTACACCTTGTTTCATTACAATGCTTATAATCCCCTCCATGTACCTACCATCCGTTAACAATATTTCTCTCTATTCACTTTAGCTCTCTCTCTTTTTAGTTTTAAACACTCAGGAATGTATAATAATTTAAGCCATCAAAGGGCACATTCTGTAAGCCTGCCTCCTGGCTGCCAGCTCTTAGTCCCTCTCTTTCCATGAATCTAGAGTCCTCAGCTGCTCCCTCTCTCCACTTCGCCATCTCTGCCTCCATCTGTGGTGTCTGCTTCTCTGGATACGGTCCTGCATTCCACTTGTGCTCTTCTCCCTTGATGGTCCTAGGATCCTCTGTTCCTGGACTGAAAGATTAACTTCTCCCCCATTTTTGTTACAAAATTTCTACCTTTACTGTTGTGACAGTCATAATTAGTCATGATAACAATTACTCACTATTGAATCATAAGAATCTTATTCCATTTCTTTTTACAAGACCTATGTAGACAAGACAAAAACTATTCAGTGGGGACTCTATATCCCCAACACACTATTAAACTCCCTCTTGAAACCTTATAAGCCAGTCACTTTGTACCTTCACCACCCCCCTCATTTTAGGTAGCACTGGAGGCAGGGTAGGGGAGACAAAAGGTGGGCTTACCAAGTCAGGATGTGGGGAACCCTGTGTGTACCGCAGCCCCAAAGAAACCCCACCGTAGTCTGCTTTTCCCCAGTGGTAGGTTCTTTAAGGTAGATGGAGAGATCCCTGGGGTTTGCAAAGGATTTACACTCCAATGATAACCTGAAGGTCAGAGATTTGAATCTATCTAGATTCAAAGATATTTATCTATATCTATATATATCAAAGAATCTGTCTAGAATTCAAAGATTTTTCCTGTGTAAGAAAGGACTGGTGATCTGCTTCTATTTCCACTAAAATTATTATTGTTGTGAAGTTCTGTAGAGTCGGTTCCGACCCATAGCGGTCCTGTATAGGGTTTCTGAGGAGCAACTGGTGAACTGCCGACCTTGCAGTTCAAACCAACTTCACGGTTTAGCGCATTAACCCACAGCGCCACAGCATGACCTCAGTTCCATTAAGATCACAGCCAAGAAAACCCAATGGGTAATCTCTATCGTATCACATGGGGTCAGTCACTGTGAGCTAAGACATCCGGATTATGGTCCAACTACCACTTATCTGTCCGTCTATCCTACTGTAGAGGCTTATAGATGCTGGAAGCTATGGTACCAGGATTTCAATTGACAGCAGTTCACCCATGATGGACAGGTTTCGGTAGAACTTTCAGAGTAAGACAGACTAGGAAGAAGTTCCTGATTACCTACTTCATAAAGCCAGCCAATGGAAACCCTATGGCTCACAATAGAACATAGTCCAATATAGTGCTGGATGTTATAGTATGAGTATTTCAAATACCAGCAGGGTGACTCATGGTGTATCAGTTTCAGCAGAGCTTCCAGACATAGAGACCAGGAAGAAAGGCCTGGTGATCTCTTTCTGGAAAACAGACAATGAAGTCTCTGTGAATCTTAAAAGAACATTGTCCAATATGGTGGCAGAAGGGATGTTATCGGTATTTCAGATATCATCAAGGTCACCCACAAGGGACAAATTTCATCAGAGCTTCCCCATTAAGATAGATGACGAAGAAAGGCCTGGCAATCTGATTTGGAAAACAAGCAAATAAAAGCCCTGTGAAACACGACAGAACATTGTCTGATAGAATGCTGGAAGATGAGTTCCTTAGGGTGGAAGGCTCTCAAAATACACAGCGGTAGCAACTACCAATCACTGTTAATATCACATAGGACCAGGCAAATGTTGTGTGCACTTGTGCATGCGGTAGCCAGGGGCCTGGGGGGCAGCTCAGTAAATCACAACAGATGCTGGAGATAAGGAACAGTTTGGCTGCAGGAGGACCAGTATTTATTGATGTGACCACTATGAAACAGATGGAGAACCATGAGTGGGATCTACTTATGAAAAATCATCCACTAAGAACCCTGTGGAGCACAGTTCTACTCTGACACACATGGGGCACCATGAGTGGGATCTACTTATGAAAAATCATCCACTGAGAACCCTGTGGAGCACACTTCTACTCTGACACACACAGGGCACCATGAGTGGGATCTACTTATGAAAAATCATCCACTGAGAACCCTGTGGGCACAGTTCTACTCTG